AAGAAGAAGAAGAAGAAGAAGAAGAAGAAGAAGAAGAAGAAGAAGAAGAAGAAAAAGAAGAAGAAGAAGAAGTAATTCGTATTCCTAAGAAAAAGATTGTTTCTGTTTTGCTTACGGTGCCATTGATTCCGTTTATGCTGTTAAACTTTTTGAAGACGCGTTGTTTTGGGGTATGGCTGTTGTTTATACAAATCTTTCTTATAATTTGTATTCTTATCTGGAACGTTAATAGGCAAGCAACATGGTGCGTAATATGAAAAGGCGTTGTAAATTCGTATTCCTGGTCTGTGTAGGAGGGTTCGAAATATCTCACAACATAATTTCATTTGGTCTGATATAGAACTGACATAGATCTATGTGTATCACGGCACGATGGACTCAAGTGCTCATTATCTTCTTTTTTTCCGGGACATTTGCGGTTGAAGAAGGTGTAGGTCGCCTTGTGTCAGAGATAAAACTAGTGAGTAAATAGCCGCCAAAGTTTGGTGACTTCCAAAGCTTGGAAGTCCTTGGAAACTACAAGTTTACATCTTGTGTGCTTTTGATCAATATTTCTCAGTAAAATCCACACAGAAATATGTTTTTAAATGCCCGTAATAGGTGTGGAGACAAACAAACACACACACACACACACACACACACACACACACACACACACAATACACACACACACACAAATAATAGCCCTCGGGGCAGACAAATTTGCGGGGTTTTTTTCGATTTCATTATACTGACGAGCGCCTGACTCCACCACAATGGCCCACATATCATGCGTCCATTACTTCCTAAAAGAGTTATGGGCCGGTCTGGCGGTACTGATTGACCCATTGGGACCTCGTCTGGGAGGTAGTGGTAAGGAAATAATTGTTCATTAGGTAGGGTCCCGTGGGCCAGGACTAAAAGTAAAAGGTTGAAATGTCCGACAGGGGGAATGACAGTCATCATCATCATCATCATCATCATCATCATCATCATCATCATCATCATCATCATCACGGCGATGACGAGGACCACGCAGACAATGATGGTAATCTGTTGGCAGATCAAGTAGAAGACATAATAATATAGCATGCTGACCACTAAAAGCATCATGTCTCTTATACGGGGTGCCCATTGGGGGATTGGGTTGGATCGGTTTGCTAGCCAGATTGAGGGCGCAAAGCGGCTATGATGGCACAAGCCGATTGCGCCTGACTCGTTTGTTTTCTGGCGACGAGTCGGGCAATCGACCCGACCCGACCTGATCCCACTACAATAGGCACCTGGTATTACATTACTCTACTCACCCACGACGTTTGGCTCCAAGTCCACGAAGATGGACCTAGGCACGTGCTTGCCGGAGCCCGTCTCGCTGAAGAACGTGTTGAAGGAACCGTCAGCCACGCCCACGCTCTTGTCTGAGGGCATTGTGCCGTCCGGCTGTGGGAAGGATAATGATGATGATGATGATGATGATGATGATGATGATGATGATGATGATGATGAT